GGAAGCACCGAGACGATCGCCAGCCAGAGCAATCGGTCGTCCGTGAGCAGCGGCGACAGGAGATCCAGGTGTCGGTCGAACGTGACGATCGAGGGGGAGGAGGGGGGCGATCGGTTTTCCCACGCAGGGATCGATCGTGGGAGGAGGAGGAGGAACGAGGACGAAGACGATTATTACGACGGTTCGATGAACGTGACTCGCGTCGAGGGTGGAGGAATCCTTGCCACGAGCAGGAACGGGAAATTGCTGGTGAACGTGGTGGGCCAAGGGGATAATTTTGGAAAGGACCTTGCCTCGAATTCGAGGAAGATTAACGGAGGAAATTCGAGGGAAGCGGAGGATTCGAACCGTTGTGACGCGTTACGAGTTGATTGCGGGTCGAGGGAGAGCGNNCAATCGATGGATGCTCGAGAGGCGATGTTTGGAGGGAGAATATCGGAGCGGAATCGAAGCCTGTTTTACCGGGGATCGGTAAAATGTTGGACGCGACTTGGTTGGACAGGGAGGAAGGGGATAACTCGGGGAAGCTGCCGCCTGACCCGTTGCAGAATCTCTGCAAGTCTTTGCCGAACTTGTACGCGTGGAGGAATGGGGCACGAGAGGCGAACAAGGATTCCCTCTTCGCCGAGGATATCGGCGAATCGGGGACTGAATCGCGGGACGAGGGCAAGTTCTGCTTCTTCTTCTCGTCCCAGACAGATCTNCAATCCGGATCTGAACAGCTTCACTCTTAGGAGGTTAAAGGTTAGCAAGCTTCCACCACCGTTGGATCTGTCCAGGGTGAACGAAAGGTACGAGGAGTTGGAGAGGGAACGCTCTCGGTCGAACGATGTCCGGGTATCCCTGATTCGAAATTATAATTGCCCGTTAGAAGGTCGGCCAACCGTCGTTCGGGACGAGTGTTCCTCGGATGAGAATCGAGAGGGATCGATCAACGATGAAGGATCCTCGAGGGAGCGGCGCGTGGAAACGGCGATGTCAGCAATCGTGGAGAAGAATAATCAAAATTACGATTCCTCTTTGACGAATTCCTCGGTGGATCGTGGACCGAGCGAATCTTTCGATCGAAATCCGTCGTCCGAGTTAAGCGAACGACAGGTGGAAAGTGTGTCAGAGGTTGGGGGAAGCGTTCGAGAGGATAAGGGAGAAGATCGAGTGATGAATTCCACGTCGAATTTGGATAAACGTCGCGTGGAGATTTCGTCGAGGGACGACGACGTTTGTGGACGGAACGCGGTGGGTAATTCGATCGAGGAGGAGGAGGAGAAGGAGGAGGAGGAGGAAAGTTGGAACAAATTTTTGACCGCGTATTTGACCACGATGGACGAGTTGCAGTCGCCTCAGTTGGTGAACAATTGCAAGAACTCGATGATGGACGCTGAGAGAGGAGAGACGTTCCACGAGAGGAGGAGGAGGCCCCCTTTGTCCAATCACGTGAATTCGATGAACGGTGGACAGACTGGAAACGGAAGCACGCTTCCCTCGGTTTACGGCCCGATTCCGTACAGTCAGTAAACATGCGCATAATTTTACCCAAATAATCCTCTTCCCGTTGTAAATGGTATCTCATATGTGCCGTTATGCGCGTCTATTTGCTATTTTCATCTCGCGATTTCGTATCTTTGTTGTTTGGCCACGAAAGAAATATATATATATATATAGAGAGAGCACTACTGTGGAATGTAATAAACGGAATAGTAAAGTTCTTAATTAATAAAAATGGAAATGTGTAAATAGAATATTTTATGATAATTAGTTGAGTCAGATTTTATATATGTAGCTCGTCGCTGGATGTACAATTCGATGCTTAAAGTGGATTGTGGATATTTTTATGCGTTTTATGCAAAATTTTTAACGTACAAGAACGAAATATCCAAAGTTTAATAAGCGTTATTACATTCGAGGAATAAGGCAAATTTCTATTTAAGCTCTATTTGTATAGTCTGTTCATAAAAATTTGATTTTGCATAAAAATCTGTAGACCGGTTATTTAAACACATGGGATGTAAAAATTTTTATTTTAAATCTTTTTTTTTTTTTTT